AAGACACAAACAGGTTGAAAGTGAAAGGATGGAAAAAGATATTTCATGCAAACAGGAACTCAAAGAGAGCAGCAGTAGCTATGCTAGTATCAGAAAAAATAGATTTTAAATAAAAAAGCTTACAAGAGACAAGGAAGGACATTAAATATTAATAAAATATTCAGTACAGCAAGAAGATAAAACAATTATAAACATTTACATATCTAATGACAGATCATCAAAATACATGAAGCAAAACCTGACAGAATTGAAGGGAGATATAGGCAGTTTTACCATAATAGTTGGAAACTTAAATACCCTACTCACAATAAGGATAGAAGAACCAAACAAAAGATTAGTAAGCAAATAGACTTAAACAACACAATAGACCAAGTAGATCTAACAGACATATATAAAACATTCTATCCAAAACGAACAGGATACACATTCTTCTCAAGTGCACATGAGACATTTTCCAGGACAGGCCATATATTAGGCCACGAATTAAGTCTCAATAGATTTAAAAAGAGAGATATCATGCAAAGTGTGTTCTCTGGCCACAATGAGATTGTTAGAAATCGATAACAGAAGGAAAACTGAGAAGTTCACAAAATTGTGGAAATTAAATAACACACTTTTAAAACAACCAATGGATCCAAATTGAAAAAGAAGTAAAATTATCTCTGTTTGCAGATGACGTGATTTTATATGTGAACATCCTAAAAACCCCACAAAAAAACCTGTTAGAATGAATAAAAATGAGTTCAGTAAAGGAACAGGATATAAAGTCAACATACAAAAATTAGTTGCATTTCCATACATTAACAATGAACAATCTGAAAAGGAAATTACAAAAACAATTCCATTTACAATAGCATCAAAAAGAATAAAATATTTAGGAATTAATTTAATCAATGTGGTGAAAGATTTGTACAATGAAAACTACAAAATATTGCCTAAAGAAATTAAAGAAGACATAAATAAATGGAAAAATAACCCATGTTCGTGGATTGGAAGACGTCATATTGTTAAAATGCTGATACTACTCAAATCAATCTACAGATTCAATGCAATCCCTATCAAAATCCTAATGGCTTTTTTTGTGGACATAGAAAAACTCATCCTAAAATTCATATGAAATCTCAAGGAACCCTGAATAGCCAAAACCATCTTAAAAAAGAAAAACAAAACTGGAGGACTCACATTTCCTGATTTTAAAACTTACTACAAAGTTAGTAATCAAAACAGCGAGGTAGTGGCATGAAGACAGACATATAGACCAATGGAATAGAATAAAGAGCCCAGAAATAACCCTTGCAGATGTGGTCACATGATTTTTGACAAGGGTACAAGACCATTCAATGGAAAAAGGACAGTCTTTTCAACAAATAGTGCTGGGAAAGCTGAATATCCACATGCAAAATAATGAAGTTGTGGGGGCTGGCCGTGTGGCATAGTGGTTGTTTGTGTGTTCTGCTTTGGCAGCCTGGGTTCGTGGGCTCAGATCCCTGGTGCAGACCTAGATACCGCTCATCAAGCCATGCTGTGGTGGCATCCCACATACAAAATAGAGGAAGAGTGGCACAGATGTTAGCTCAGCAACAATCTTCCTCAAGCAAAAAGAGGAAGATTGGCAACAGATGTTAGCTCAGGGGCCAATCTTCCTCGCCAAAAAAAAAAACCAAAAAAAAAAAGAAGAAGCTGGACCCTTTCCTAATGCCATATAAAAAAATTAACTCAAAATGGATCAAGGACCTAAATGTAAGACCTAAAACAATAAAACTCTTAGAAGAAAACCTAGGACAAAATCTTCACAACATTGGATTTGGCAATGATTTCTTAGATATGACACCAAAGACACAAGTAACAAAAGAAAAAATCGACAAATTGGACTTCATGGAAATTAAAAATACATGTGCATCAAAAGACACTGTTAACAGAGTAAAAAGGCAACCCACAGAATGGGAGAAAATATTTGCAAATTATATATCTGATAAAGGATTAATATCTAGAATTCCTGAAACTCAACAACAAAGAAATGAACAACACTATTCAAAAATGGGCAAAGGACTTGAATGGCCACTTCTCTAAAGATATACGAATGGCCAACAAGCACATAAAAGATGCTCAACATTAATCATTAGGGAAATGCAAACCCAAACTACAATGAGATACCACTTCACACTCATTGGGATGTCTACTATCAAAAAACCAAAAAACAATAAGTATTGGTGAGGATGTGGAGAAATTGGAACCCTCGTGCACTGTTGGTGGGAATGTAAAATGGTACAGCTGTTGTGGAAAACAGTATGGTGGCTCCTCAAAAAATTAAAAATAGAATTACCACATGATCCAGAAATTCCCCTTCTGGATATAAAACCCAAAGAACTGAAAGAGTCTCGAAGAGATATCTGAACACCCATATTCATAGTAGCATTATCACAATAACTAAAACATGGAAGCAATCCCAGTGTCCAGCGGATGAATGGATAAACAAAATGTAGTATGCACATACAATAGAATATTATTCAGCCTTAAAAAGGAATGGAGATCTGCAATATGGTACAACATGGATTAAATTTGAGGACATTGTGCTAAGTGAAATAAGCAAATCACAAAAGAAAAATACTGTATGATTCCTCTTATATGAGGTGCCTAGAGTGGTGAAAACCATATAGACTGAAAGTACAATGGCAATTTCTGGGGGCTGAGGGAAGGGGACAATGGAGAGTTATTGTTTAATGGGCACAGAGTTTCAGTTTTACAAGATGAAAGGAGTTATGGGAATGGATAGTGGTGATGGTTGCACAACAATGTGAATGTACTTAATACCACTAAACAGTATACTTCAAAATGGTGTAGATTGGGGGCCAGCCCAGTGGTGCAGCGGTTAAGTGTGCACATTCTGTTTCAACGGCCTGGGGTTTGGATCCCAGGTGTGGACATGGCACTGCTTGGCAAGCCATGCTGTGGTAGGCGTCCCACATATAAAGTAGAGGAAGATGGGCACGAATGTTAGCTCAGGGCCAGTCTTCCTCAGCAAAAAGAGGAGGATTGACAGCGGATATTAGCTCAGGGCTAATCTTCCTCAAAAGCAAACAAACGAAATGGTGAAGATGGTAATTATGTGTATTTTACCCCACTAAAAATACTAGCAAAAAAAATTGGGCTGGCATGACATCACACATCTAAATGAGTAAAAAAAAACTGTCAGTAAATGAAAGAACACATTCACCTGGTCCTTCATTTTCTGGAAGGAGCTGTTGACACTTGCTTTTATTTTTCCCTGTTCTTGAGTCCTCTGTCTCTAACTTCTTTTAGATGTATTCTTGTTCCCGCAAGTAAGACCAGGACAGGTCACAGGGGATAAGTCAAGGTCATTTACATCACCCTGGCCTGGTCAGAAGGCCATTGTGTGATTAACTGATTGGCCCACTAAATGACTGACCAGGTGGCCTCTCAATCTTTGGTTATTTGGCATTATGATAATTGACCAAAGGATTTTCTGGATACTTTGGACAATTTAGATGCAGTTTAAAAGACTTTCCTACTGCTGTTTTAATTTAAAAAAATTGTTAATTGAGTGAAGCAATAATAAGGATAAAGTGAAGCTACTATAACAAAATAACCCAGTCAATGGATTAAAGAAGTTAGGGGTTTATTTTCCTCTCATTTAAAATTCTGAGGTGAGTGTTCCAGTTGACAGGTGACTCGTCTCCCCTTGGTCACAAGGTACGACTGATGAAGCTGGGTCTCCATCGTATGCTAGTTCCAGCTCTGAGGAGGAAAAAAATGTGGAAAAGTTCCTGTCCCAGTTTTGAAGGCCAGGCCTGGAAGTATCACACATACGCATAAATTCTCATATTCAGTTTGCGAGAACTTAGATATGTGACCGCACTCGGCTGCAAGAGGGAGTGGGAAATGTCCATAGTGGGGCAGCCATGTTCCCGCTACACTCTCTGACTAGGAAGAAGGAGAGAATGGATTTCGGTGGGCAGCTATCCGTCTCTATCACAGTGCCTGCTAGTAGACATTAGGGAAAAGAAGACTGGTACACAAACACCAATGAAATATTCTTTCTTTTCTCCAGAGTCTCTGTTCTAAACTAGAATGCAGGCCAGCCTATGATACGTGCTATTTTAAAATTCACAGCTCTGTAGGAAAATAGGGAGGAAGATATAAGTTCTGACTGGGAGAATCAGAGAAAACTTGTAGGAAAATGGGTTTTTCTTGGGCCTTGAAGGAAGCATAAAACATCAGTTTATGAATATGGAGAAGGAAGAAGGGTATATATGATGCAGGAATAGCTTTAGTAAAGGCTCAGATACAGGAAAGTACAGAGAATGTTTAAGGAATGGCAGGTAAATGAATGGGGCTAGGAGAGAAGAGGGAAGTAGAGATGTCTTGGGAGATGAGATATATTGGGATCAAATTGTGGGGGACTTTGAATTCCAAGCTCATAGGTCTGGCTTATTCAGTGGAGAGCCAGTGAATATTGATAAGGAGAGGACACACATATTTATTTTTATGTGTCAGAAAGAAAACTCTGCTGGTGGTGTGGATGAGGATGGGGATGACAACAAAACCACTTAGGAAGCCAGAGGGACATTCCCGAGGCAGAGCGAACAGGATTTGGTCAATCACTGCAGGGGGATAGCGAGGGGCTGGAAGGAAGCACAGATGATCCATACAGAGATTCTCACCAAGTGCTTGGGAGGCTGGATTTGCCTTGACACGAGCAAAGCAATCCTGAATGCCTGGAGGCTTGGGCAATTAGGAATGAAGCAGACAGATGAAGAGCGTTGGGGCAGTATTATGCTGGTTTTTCCAAAATTTACCGGGAATAATCCCCCTTCCTCCTGGATAGAGCATTTATTCCTCATATTCAATATTTGTATAGAATGTGCTTTCTCCTGAGAGGTGGGTCAGAAAAGTGTAAAACAGCTCTGGCCGAATTATTTATAGCACCAGAATCTTCTTCCTAGTAGAATTACATTCAATTCAGCTCAAACCAACATCTATTTATTGAGCATTTGACACGTGCAACAGTAGCTGAAAGGAGTATTAGCAACAGAGATGTAGGTAGTCCCCGGATCTGTAGTTACTTATTTGCACTTGCAGCCCCTCGGCCTGCTGTTATTCTCTTCAGAGCAGACTTCACTTCCTGGTTTCTCAGTGTATAGATGAGGGGGTTCAGTAATGGAGTGACAACAGTGTAAAACACAGCCACTGCCCCATCCAGGGGGCTCTTGGAGCCAGCCCGAAGGTAGATGAAAATGCAGGGGACATAGTAGACTGTGACCACGGTTAGGTGGGAGCCACAGGTGGAGAAGGCCCGGCGCCGCCCATCAGCAGTGTGGATCTTCAGGATGGCACGGGCTGTGTTGGCATAGGAGAGCAGAATCAACATGAAGCAACTGGCAGCCACTACCCCAATGTCCACAAAGGTCACAAGCTCATTGACAGTCGTGTCAGCACAAGCCAGTCTCAATACTGCGGGGATATCACAGATAAAGTAATCCACCTGGTTGGGCCCACAGTAGGGCAGGCGGAAGGTCAAGATGGCCTGGATAGACCCATGGATGGAGCCAGCCAGCCAAGCTCCAGCCACAAGGATGGTGCATAACCTCCCATTCATGAGCATAGGGTAGCGCAGGGGGTGGCATATTGCCAGGTACCTGTCATAGGCCATCAGTGTGTAGAGGAAGCACTGGGTGCTGCCCAGGAAGTGAAAGGCGTATAGCTGAGCCACACAGCCACTGAACGGGATTGCCTTGCTGGCAGAAGTCAAGTTTAGAATAATGCGAGGAACGATGACTGAGGAGAGCCACATGTCCAGAAATGAGAGCACACCCAGAAGAATGTACATGGGCCGAGCATGGAGCTTTGGGTCAGCCCACACAGTGAGCAGAATGAGCAGATTTCCCAGCTGAGTCAGGAAGTAAATGCAGAAGAAGACCAGGAAGAGGAGGGTCCTCAGATTCGGGGGGTGAGACAAGCCCAGGAGAATGAAGTCTGTCACCACAGTGTCCAGAGATGTGTTTTTGGTCTTTCTCATGTCTTTCTGTAGTCTGCTAAGATGAATGGTGAAGTCAGACAAGGGAAATACAACAAAGGGAGGTGGGGAGAGAATGCTTTTGTTTAATGACCAGAGTGTAGGAGATAAAGACTTCTATATTTTAAGTAGAAAGCATTTGCCATCAACCATTTGGGTTTGCCTGGCAAGACAACCCCTCAGGGGCTGGTTAGTTTCTAGGTGTCGTGAATATTCCTTCAATGAGAGACACTACATACGTATGTCGGAAGCCAAGGCACAGGGTTGTGTCTGAATAATAATGTAAGTGCTGGATATCTATAATGGTCATGTGATGGGTCTATGTCCCAAAGGGGGACCACCGAAAAGTGGATTCTGGTGGCATGGAGCAGCATGGGACAATTACTCCACAATTACCATACCTATTGTTGGTCTCTGACTTAATATCCTCGAAATAACGCCTCCTATGATGTACAAGAATCCCTGAGATTTGGCCCTCGCATATTTCTACAGTCTTTTCTTCCTTTGGCTCCCTCAGAGCACCACACTCTCCTTCCTTCCAGACCTACTCCTTCTGGAGTATACTGATTCATCATAATGTAACCTCATTCCTCAGGGTTCACTTTGGCTGCCGCCTCCTTTGGGAAGAGTTCTCCCTTAGAAGACAATCTTCTGGGAGATAAGTGTTTGTATTACGACAGGCGATTGCAGTATAGTGTGCTAAGGGCTATTTGTTAGACCAGAAGATCCTTCAGAGCAAAGACCAAATCTATTTTGTTCTTCCTATGTTTCTCCAGCACCTGCCCCAGTGATTGGCAACAGTATGTTAATTCATAAATATTTGTTGGCTGATTGGCTGGCTGAATGGATGTTGTCAACTCCGGTTAATCCTGCATCCTGTTTCCCTGGGTGATCCCATTACTCATGCTTTCTGTCACACAGTCAGGACTGTAGGATGAGTGATTAGCCTCATGTATCAGCAATGTGAGTCTATTCCCAGTATAAACAAAGTTCATGGATGGCATCCATGCTTTCTGCTTCTTCTAGACTGTTATTAAAATTTATTGATTGACCTAAATAGTTTATTGGTTTTGATGGTTTGGATTATAACAGCATCGATTATTATAGGATTTGACCTTTAATATGTTGTTATTTTAAGATCCTATTTGCCTTCCAACAAATGAGATTCTTGAAAACCTTTTAAAGGTATTAAACATATGAGCCAAATGTTATTTAAAAAGTCCCTTTGATGAATAGTTTATTGTACAAGAATTTTTCCTCATAATAGGGTTTTAGGCATTTTTACCTGTTGCTTAAATGAAAACATCTGATAGTTCTTTAGAAATAACAAAAAATTAAAATAACAAGAGGTTGATTATACAGATGTGAACATTGACAGACCTAGTCTCTGAGATACCACTCAAAATACCCTTTTATAAACATCAATCTCAAACATGTTTTATCTTCATTATTATTTAAAAAGAATTAAATGGATATAATAATATTCAGTAATTGTTAATATTGAATGTATCCTGCTCTATAGGATCCATAGAAATATTAATTATAGACCATTCACAAGGAGAAAAATATGTTAGGTTTCTATTACCTGATTTTCAGAAGGAGGAATACCTTAATTTCTTTTAGGATGGATAGATGGTACTTTCTTCGGCTAGAACAGAAAAAGATGGCAAAACTTGACAGTGTAAATATGATGCCCATTATGGAAATTTATTTTCTATCAGTAAGAGGAGATATTTACTATAATGTGCTTCTAGCTTAGGTACAGGATGTGTTTCTAAAATTTTTAATGAAAACCAAACTTTCACAACTCAATTCATACCAGGATTATACTAAAAAGACAATTATTTGGAGAACATCTGTAACGAATCCTTATGGATAGTAAAAATGCTCCCCAGTATATCTTTGCCATTCTGAGTCTTTCCTGGCTGTGGTGCACACATCTGGGTGCACTTCCCTGGGGCCCTGCTGGGAGGATGCTCCTTTTGTGTACCTCCTGTCTGGCCCTGGGCATTCTGGCTGGCAGGACAGGAATAGGGTGGTTGCAGTGGGTGGATCTGAGGGAGAGGCTCCTTCTCCAGGCAGAGGCAGCAGAAGATGGTGGTTTGATTTGAGGTGATGAACTCGGGCTGCCGGCAAGGCAGATTGTGAGCAGAGGCTAATTCCAGAAGACGGAATCTCAGTAGTGGCAGGGAGCGTGTCTGCAGAAGGCCCAAACCACTTTAAGAGAGAGAGAGGTTTTAGAAAAGAGAACACTCTTTTCTCCTTTCTAGAGAAAAAAGGGCCAGTCTAGAAAAAATCAAAAGAAGAAAACTAATTGAATGATTCCCCCTTAATTTATCTGTGCTTTTTATTATAAGCCTGCTAATCTTTAGAAGCTGTGGAGTCTTAGGCTGTCTAAATTGAGGAGTGGAGCAAACTTAGATTCATCAACTAAAAAAACCATTTCAAATATCCACACCTTGGTTAATTTGATATATATCCCCCAATTTCTTCTTTTAAATAGTATTTAGTATTGTTAATCCCATCTTATAAAGTACTTGTAATTTAATATCAAAAGCATATAATTAAAGAAAGTAAGAAGCTAGGGATAGCATTGATAGAATCAATATTCAAGACAGCAAATAATTAGGTGCAGAAGCTTTGGCCTGGAAATTCAAGGAAGGGGCACCTAGCGATGGAATGAAAGAGGGTGGCACTGAAAGAGCAAGATAAGGGAGGGATGAGACCCTGTTTACAGGGTCAGACAGGAAGTCTGGGCTCCCCTTTACTAGGAGGCCAACTCACTCGGAGCACTTTGCCGACAACGCCTCTGTCACTTTGTGAAAAATCAGGTTATCCCAGGTTTGGCCTCTTTTTGCATGTCTACGCTGAGCTGGCGTTTTGTATAGGGCACCTTTGGGTTAGGGATATCCCCACTCAGAGCAGATATGAATCACTAAGGCTGAGGGATGAGGAATGATTTAGCATTGAGTTGTTCACTCTCGTTTGCCTTTTGGACCAGATTCAGACCATAGCCCTGAGCAGAGAGGCAGAGCAAAGAGAACAAAGTTTGGGTCAAGTGGAGAGGCAGAACCCATATTTTATTGCCTTGATTATTCATCAGTGTCCTTGCACTGTAAGTTGAAAGAAAAAGGACTTGCTTAAGAAAAAGTACTAGAACCGAAGGCCTTCCAACCTTCAGGTAAGTTGACTAAGCGTGCTTGACACTGGGGAAAGAATGGTTAAGAAATCCGTCTCTGACTGTTTTGGCGCAGTAATGCTGATTCTGATGTGTCATTTATATTCCTTTACCACCTCCCCCAAAATAGAGAAAGAAAAGATAAATGTTAAAAATTTTTTCTCTCAATCCAAAGAAGAAAGTTTCCAAATCTGGAGAAAGGCCAATTAATTCAAAATTAATATGTCTGATCTACTAACTCTGTGAATTGAGGGTGAGGTAAGGAAGATGGGGGAAAGAGACAGACTAAATAGGGTTTTTGACAAAGTTAATGAAAGTTGTAAAGTCTGAAATTAAGTCTTTGCTCCTACTGTGAATCGACCTGGCTTTAGAAATGCTTCCCTTCTTGGACTCACATGAACATGGTGGAAAATCTTGGAGGAGGCTGGCCTTTCCCAGGTAGAATGGCCCAAGAAGTGAGGCAGGAGTCTTCAGAGCATCCCCTGGGCTTGTGGTGATGGGTTACTGGATCTCTGCTTTGGAAAGGAATTAAAATCTTCCAGGGGATTGACACATTGACTATTTTACTAATCTATGAGACCTCCTGCTCTTGGATGCTCTTTATAGCCTGTGACTTCTCTACTTAAGGGTCTTAAATTTTACGTGGGTTATTTTATTAGTTAGGTCTCCTTTGATCGAGTCTTTTTTTTTTTTTTTAAACAGTGTCAGGAGATTTGTAGAAAACTATTTACCTCTTGGGAGTTCTACTCTGAAACATTTCCCCCGTGAGAACTGCATTCCCTAGATCCTCATTATTTTTCGTTTTGACAGCAAGCAGGAATCATTTCTGTGGATCTAGAAAGTGAGCTGTGAAGAAGAACATGATCTGTTTGGGTAACCTCTCATTTCTGTGATTCCTTTCTTTGAAGTGTTGCGGGATCACACATTTACCTACTTTATACTCAGAAATGCACTAAAAATGTATTTAATTTTTACCAGTTTTCCTTACATGCTCCCACCTCTCTGGATACTGAGAGAAAAAAAAATCCCCTAAATTTTAGGTCAGTTGAATAAATTTAACTACCTCCAGTTTAAGTCTTGGGTGAGTCCATTCTTCCTACGGTAGTGGAGAAAGAAGATAGTTTCAAATTGTTGCAGTGGTCCTTGGATACTTGCTCTTCTTTGCAGGGTGTAGCAGGTCTGGTAGGCAACTCGCACCATGTAGGTGAGGATGGTCCCATCTGGAATCGTGAGGTGACTTACTCCCCTTAAACTCATTTGGAATCAGTTTTATGGGGGAGTTTGTTTGTACTAGCTTACAAAAGCTTATTGTTAAATTTTCAGAAATTTTGTGAGCTCTTTGTTAAACTTGCAATTACATTTAAATATAACCTTGCAATTAAATACACATTTTCAACTAAATAAATTATATTAAAAATGTAATAATACTAAAAGCTCATCACTTTTTAATTATTTTGTTATGTTTTACTAGTATCTATGAGATTATTCGCATCTGTTATATCTTTACGGTGGAAATACTATATAATGGTGTGCTGCCATTACCAACTCCATATGCAATGACGTCATGTTGGAGCTTGAAATTCACCCTGCTGGGTGTATTTAAACCATGAAAATCGACAAGAAATACAAAGCAGGGCTTTTTTGGGGGTAGGGGGTGTGGGAGCCAGTTTTTAGACTTTTACCAGCATACCACCAGCTGGAATCCACAGTTCCTGTTCTTGGCGTCTAGTTTGGAAGTCATTGCATGCTGTGGTGACTTTGCTTTGACCCTAGCCTTATGCTGCCGCACTTTCATTCCCCATACTTGTCTGTCTTCTCTGGCAAGACATACAGGCACCTCTGATTTCCTTATTCACCAT